GGACCTAGGCTTTTTTTTTTTTTTTTTTTTTTTTTTTTTTTGGTTCTATTTTTTTCTTTTTTTTTTTTTTTTTTTTTTTTTTTTTCAGTCAGAAGTCTCAATCTCTTCCTTTGTTATGGGTCTTTTTTAGGTTGTTGGTTTCTTTTAAGATTTATTTATTATTATTTGTATAGTATTCTGTTTGCATTTATGCCTGCAAGCCAGGAGAGGGTACCAGATCTCATTATAAATGGTTATGAGCCACCATGTAGTTGCTGGGAATTGAACTCAGGACCGCTAGAAGAACAGCCAGTGCTCTTAACCTCTGAGCCATCTCTCCAGCCCCAGTTGTTGGTTTCTTTTTGTGCTTATTGGAGTACAAGTTTTTGAAGTCTCCTTAATAATATTTTGAATTTCTTTGTTGTCTGTTGTAATGTTTTCCCTTTCATTTCTGGTTTTGTTAATTTGGGTCACCTTCCCCTCCCCCCGCCGCCCAGGGGTCTCTCATTCTAGTTTATCTTCTTAAAGAACCAGCTCTTAGAGTTGTATCTTTGTATTGTTTCCTATGTTTCTATTTCATGAATATCTGCTTTGATTTTTATTATTTCCTGTCATCCACTGTGCTTAGATCTGGTTTGTTCTTATTTCTCCAAATTCTTATTTTTCAGATATTTTTTAAAAATATATATTTTTTTAATTTTATGTGTGTGTTTTGCCTGCATATATGTCTTATGTACCAGGTGAATGCCTGATAACCACAGAGGCTAGAGTTGCATCATTAAGTTTTATTTTTGCTCTTTTGATTTTTAACATTGGAACTTAAGGCTCTACACTTCCCTCTCAGGGCTGCCTTTACCATGTCCCAGAGGTTTTGTTGTGTTGAGAATTCATTTTCATTTAGTTTTCAAATACTTTGATTTTTTTTTTCTTGACTTTTTTGACTCATTCAGTAAATAATGAGTTGTTTAATCTCCATGGGTTTATACACTTCCTAGAGTTTTGTTTTGCCATTGATTTTAAGATTTATTGCATAATGGTTAGATGGGATGCATGGAGTTATTTCCATTGAAAGTGTGTTGCGTGTTCCAGCCCATGGTCTAGTTTACAGAAGCTTCCCTGTGCTGCTGAGCAGAAGGAGCATGCGTTGGTGTGTAGGCTCTGTGTGCTCTGTTCACAGTCTGTTAGGACTGTGTGGTATAAGATGTCATTGAACCGGAGGCTTCTCTGTGGAAGCTGTGGTGGTTTGAATGAGAATAGCTCCTATGAGCTCATGTATTTGAATGTTTGGTCACCAGAGAGTGGAACTATCAAAAGGATTAGAAGGATTAGGAGGTGTGGCCTCATTGGAGTAAATGTGTTCTTGTTGGAGGAAGTGTATCACTGGGGGTGGGCTTTGAGGCTTCAAAAGCCTGAGCCAGCCCCAGTCTCTCTCTGTCTCTGTCTGCTTGTCTGTGGATCAAGATGTAAATCTCTCAGCTACTTCTCCAGTATCACATGTGCTGCTGCCATACTTCTTGCCATGATAATGAACTTAAACTTCTGAAACTGTAAGCAAGTCCCCAATTACATGCTTTCTTTGATAAGAGTTGCCTTGGTCATGGTGTCTCTTCACAGCAATAGAACAATGATTAAGACAAAAATCTTCACAAGTTTTTGGCTATTATTTTAATAAATAAAATTTTAGTGCCTTTTTCTTTTAATCCTCTGGAATTCCGATAGTGTATCTATTTGTTTCCATGATGATTTCCCATTTCTTCATTCTTTTTTCTTTTCTTACCATTATTTTTAGTTCATTTTCATTCTCTCTCTCTGTGTGTGTTTATGTGTGTATGTGTGTGTGTGTGTGTGTGTGTGTGTGTGTGTGTATTCATGTGAGTACAAGTGAGTACAAAGTTCCTGCTGAGCCCAAAGGCATTTGGATTTCCTGAAGTTGGAGTTCCAGATGGTTGTAAGTTAGGAACTGAACTCTGGTCCTCTTAATTGCTGAGCCTTCTCTTCAGACCCTTCTGTTTATATATTTTAGAATATAGTTATTTTAAATGATGAGTTAGTTCAAAAGAGTTATCCTTGATTCAAAATTTAGTTTATTCTAGTCTCTTGTGGAAGCTATCTATTTTATTTCATGCTTGTGAATTGTGTTTTTTTGTTTTGTTTTGTTTTTTTCTCCAAGACTTCTGGTTAATCCACACACACACACACACACACACACACACACACACACACGTTCTTTTTCATTTTTTTTTTTTAATTTATAAAATGAATTGTTTTCCTAATTTTGCTCTCTGTATTTTCTTATATTTTAGTGGTTTTCCTTAGGATTTTTGAATTATTTTTTGGTAACCCCATAGATTTCCTTTGAATTGAGATCTAGTTCCAGGAATATCTGTGTAGGAGTGTCATACATCCTTGTTTTGTTTTTTTTTAACTTCGTTGGATATTTTCACATCTGGCATAATAGTTACCTTTTCCAATTTTGTGGACTAGCTGTCGTTTGGATAGGATTTAGGGTCCAGTGTCCTTAGAGGGGAACTTGGAAGTGTGGCCTGTGTAGTTTCGCCAGCTTTGGTCAGTGTCGCCAGTGCTGTGTGGTCTGCAGCAGTGTGTGAGAAGAGGTGTACAGCTTTGCAGTGGACATTCTCAATGTGTTTCCTTCTGCTTTGTGGACCTGAGTGCCTGTGACTCTGGGACTTATGGTGATGGCCGTTGAAGTTCTAATGCTACAGAATGTGGAGAGTCCTGTCACTATGTCCTGTGGGGCAAATGTAGGTGATGGCAAGGGTGTGGCACTGGTAGCTATGGTCTTAGAGCTATATGACATTGATAGGACCTTCCCCAGGTCCCCCTGGTCTATGTCTGTGGACCATAGATAGAATCTTCTCCAGGCTTCGGGAGACAAGCACAGGTGATGCAGCACCTTGGGTACCAGTAGCTGTGAGGCTTCTAATTCCAATGAGGTGAATACAGGCAAAGCCAGGGTTGGAACAACAGGATACCAAGAAGTCTGTTCTCTGCCCAGTCAGACTCATCAGGCTCAGGGCTTCTTTGGTGGTATCTGGAGTTGGCTCCTGCCTCCTAAGTTAGAATGGCATCTAGCTTGTGTTCTGAGGAAGGGGAAGGGCAATGTGAGATCATTCTTAGGAGCAGAATAGTCACTTAGAGCTCCATACTTGATTTGAATCCATTGAGTGCTGTGGGATCCTGCAGTTAGGTCTGCTGGTCTGCTGCTGTCCCTGGTACTTCCCAGAGGCCTTAGCAGAGGCCTGGAGCAGACTTTGAAGTAGGGCTCTGCTCTGCTGTGACTATTCTCACCATTTTCTTGTCTGCTTTTTGTCCCTCCCTCCCCCCACCACTCTCCTCTGCTGCTCTGGTAGACCCACCTGTGTCTCCTCCCTGCTGCTATGGACATCCTGAGGGACTAAGCTAAGTTCCTGACCTGGTGGTCTGTATAAGCACAGGTCTTCTGATCAGGGAGCTGGTGGCCATGTGCAGCATGAGTGGAGGTGACTGGCAGGCCAGAGGTTTCCTGGCCCCACTGCTGTTCACTGAATCCACAGCACTACTTCAACACTCGAGAGGGAGTATCCAGCCTTCAGCATCGATGCCCTCACCTCTAGACTTCCACCTGACACTACGGGAAACATGACTGAGGGCAAAGTGGCAGCCTAGCCCATACCTTTCAGGGAGACCTCCTGCTTGGGCAAGGGGATCCTATCACAGGGCTACAGTCTGTTCAAGAACCTCATTTTGACACGGATTCTGCTTTGGTAGGTCTGGTGCGGATGTTGCCTTGTTTGGTGATTATCTCCAAGACTGACTCTTCAGAGCATGGCTCAGTGAGCGAATGGATGAAATTCTCATTGACTGCACATCACAGGACTACAGATCCTGCCAGAGCCACCTTTTGTATGCTTGATGCCTTTCATGGCATTTGCATACCAGGAGCTTAAAGACCTGGTCACTGATAGCAGTGTCCCTGTAGTCTACAGCTTGGTTCAGTATTTCAGGGAACATGCTAAGATATTTCATAAGAAGTGAACTAAAACTGTATTTGAGAGAGACAGACAGACAGACAGAGGGGAGAGGGGAGAAGGACACATAGAGAAACACAACTAGAGAAATGCAAAGGCAGGAAGGTGGGGAAAGCCCTGATTTGTACTTTGCAGTGCAGTACCTTCCTGGGCATTGCCAGGCCTAGCTTTTACCCAGTTGGTATCATATAGTGTGGAGCCTCCTTTCTTGACTAATGCTTGGTTTCTGTACAAAGAAGATTGGGCAGCAGATCCTATAAGGGTTACTTCAAACTTTCATCCATGACTTATAACTGCTTAACATAATTAGAAATATGAAATTTCAGACAGTAGTCAGGTATGGTGGTATGTTAATACTTCTAGCACTGGCCAAGTACAGCATGGGAACTTGAAGCCACCCTGGGCAGTAAGTTCAAAGCTGGTCTGAGCAACATGTAAGACCTGTTTCAAAAGACAAAGCCTAACAAGGGCTGGGGATATAGTTCAGTAGACCATTTTCCTAGATGTGATTCTCATTACTCAGGGAAAACAGAAACAGAAGAAAATGAAACCCTCACACTTCACTATTTATGGCCACACAATAACACTATCTCTATATAAATGCCTCCATGCACATGTGACTTGAAGTAGCTCTGAGATGTCTGTCCAGGAGGGGAACATGAGCAGTTGGATACACACACAGTGAATTCAAAGAGGACCCTTAGGAGATCCTTAGGAGGACCTTGTATAGATAGACAGTAATAGGGACATCACAGCCACAAGGACATGTACATGACAAGGGCATAGGAGTGGAGAGTCTTGTGTTGGGAGTGATTGGACAGGCACAGTTTTTGGTTCTGATCTCAGCCCTCTCTGACTTTTACTTACTGTGAGGGGCCCAGAGCTCCCTGGAGGCTGTACCTTCTCTCTAGGCCAACCTCCTGCTGTCTGTAATCTGAAAGAAATTGATTCATTTCAGCCTCATCTGCCCACTGATTGTTTCTTTCCCCTCAGAGACAGGTACTGCAGCCTCTCTGTGTAGCTCAGCTACCTAAGGGCAGATGAGCGGTGATGTGCGTGTCCACTCCTGGCCTTGCTCCTACTATCTGGACCTTGAGAAGCAATGGGTTCCTGGGAAACTGACCTTGACACCTCATTCACTGAAGTTCAGTGCGGACAGAACTGAAGAGGTCCTTGTCGGTCTGCCCCTCTCCAGCATCACTGAGATCAGAAAAGAGACTTCTCTCTTTATCTTCAGTGCCATCACAGTCCTGGAGAAGGGCCAGGCCAAGCACTGGTTCAGCTCCCTGCGGCCCAGTCGCAATGTGGTCTTCAACATCATTGAGCACTTCTGGAGGGAACTGCTGCTGTCCCAGCCGGGCACTGCTTCCAGCACGGCCTCCCCGAAAACCAGGGGCCAGGAGCTGATGGGACTGATGGCTACTTCCCAGAGACGCATGGAAGACACATCAAAGGTCCTTCACCATCAGGGCGAGCAGCTAGACAGCGTGATGAGGGGCCTGGAGAAGATGGAGTCAGATCTAGATGTGGCTGACAGGTGGGCAAACCCCAGGGTCTGCTCTGCCTTTGCTGGAAAGGCAGAGCAGAGTGTGCTCTGGACGATCTCATGGTTAGCACATTCCTAGCACCTAGAGAAAAGGCTGTGCCCCTGCTGTGTGCACTGTGTGGGACTCATCCCAGAGAGCCACTGCCTGTTATCACTGGGATCCTCTTGGTTCACAGAGAGTAGGGAGGCAAGTGTCCATGTTGTGATGGCTGCACGCTCTGTTAATGTGTGTGTTTCCTGGGTGCTGATTGGTCATGTCCCCAACTCTCAGGTCACTAGTATGCTCTGTGTCCCCTCCTGGTGCGGATCTGCTCCGACAGGGACAAGTAGGCTTTTATTTTTTGTTTTCTATGTACTTTGAAATGTGTTTTGGGGTAGCCTTCATTGTCCTTACTGAGTTTGTCCTTCAGAATGGGCTTTTTTTTCCCACATCACTTTAAAAATGTGACCCATTTGGAGCTCCCTTTGTGTGTGTGTGTGTGTGTGTGTGTGTGTGTGTGTGTGTATCTTCTATTGGCTGCCTTGTGTTTTTTCTGTCTTGTTTCATTTGTAGTTCTCGAGCTTTTATTTCTCTTAGATTTTAATTCCTAAGAATTCATTTTGCTCTGCACATGTTGCCTGACTCATGTCTCAACCCTGCTTCCTGTCTGTTGTCTTATCTCAGCATTTCATGTGCCTTTTATTGTTTTATTTTATTTGTTTACTTATTTATTAGCTGTTCAAAACAGGGTTTCACTGTGTAGCTTTGGCTGTCTTGGAACTATCTTTGTAGGCCAAGGCTGGCCTGGAACTCAAGAGATCCACCTGCTTCTGCCTTCCAAGTGCTGGGATTAAAAGGTGTGTGCCACTACTGCCCAGCCTTTGTTTATTTGTTTTTAAGACAGGGTTTCTCTGTGTAGCCTTGGCTGTCCTGACTCACTTTATAGGCCTGCCTGCCTCTGCCTCTGCCTCTGTCTCCCCAAGGGCTGAGATTACAAGGGTGTACCACTAAGCTTGACTTCTCTGGTTTTATACTGACCTGTTTCTCCTAGTTTTCTCTTTGTCTGGATTTCTTTTTATTTTCTGTCTTTAATCAGAAGCATTTGTCCCAGGGTCCTTCCACAACTGTACTGTCAATAAAGCCTCATCTGGGGTCCCTGCTTCCCTCTTGCAATGTGAGCCTGATAGGCTTTGCCAGTCTTAGTGTGAAGGATCCAGCTCTCTTCTCCCTATTCTGCCCCTGCAGTGTCTCCTCGCAAGTGTTTAGGTTGGGTGTAAGGCCTGAGTGTCTTCCTCCAAGCCAGCATGCTCTGTCACTGACCCCTTTCTACCCCTGTGCTTAGAGGATGCCAATACCACCTTTGTTACTGTACCTAGATGTTCAGCTTCTCCCACCATTAGTATACAGAAAAGTTTCCACAATCTTGTTGCTGTCTCTTTCTGTCCTTAGGGAAGTGGTTTTTAGTTTGTGGTCTGTGAACATCATTTCTCCCTGGCCATTCTTCCCAAGGCCCATCTTTGGGAGTGCTCTTTTTCAGTATACCATGTTCAAACTTATTTTAAATTTCCATGCTTATTTCTTAAAAAGTAGTTGGAAATGTACCCTTTCGGATTCTTGTAATTACAGTTCTACAGTTCTGCTTTTTTGGTTCAGTTATCCCATAGAGTTGCGCTGAAAATATTAGGTAGAAGAGTGGACCTCTTTGATAACCTGTAGTATTAGTGCCACTCTGAGTAGCCTGATGAGATCTCAGACCTGATTGCCCATGCCTCTTAGGATAGCATCAGCCCTTTGTCTGACCTTCTGCACTGTTCACCACCCGTGTCAGTCACTAGCAGCCACTTTGGCTATCAGAATGCGTAGGTGTCTCAGTGCTGTGGTCAGCAGTGTTTTATTTAGTAATGATCATAACATGCAAGAATAGTGGTGCTCGCAATTTGGATAAGCCAAGGAGAGGCTATGAAGGAGACACGGCAAGACGTTCTGGAAGGAGACTCTCACCTTCCTGTTGCAATATAGCAATGGTATATGTGGTCCTTAGGGCCTGGGAACATGTGCTTCCTATGGATGAAGGGCTGTGAGTGTAAAGAGCAGTGTTCCCTTGCCGCTGAGTGGTCCAGGCCCTTTCAGTGCTTCTTAGGCCTTTTGCCTTTTGCCTTTTGCCATAGTCCACATGTGGCTAAGGGCATGCTGAGTGGAGGTGTGGCGGCACATCCTCCTCTCTCATCAAGACAAAGGTTCTTTTAGTAAGACCATGTCTTGGAGGTAGGCGTGGGTCAGGAGTGTTACAGGAGCAGACAGCAGAATCCGCAGTTCAGAATTGGCGTCTTAGTTCTCTCTGGCCCCAACTTAGTTTTGTCCTAGGGATGAACTGTGATGAGGTGGATATGGAGAGCAAACTCTCTCTGTTTCAGGAATGGGGATTTTTATACCATCTTCTCTTGTGGTTGACTGTGTTTCTGCCCCTGCTCATATGGACACATACGTGGAATTTGAGGATAGTTCAGCACATTTCATAGTCTTCCAAGCTAGAGTTTCTATTGTTTACTTCTGGTTCCTGTTGGGAAATGAGGTTTAATCCGGGCACACTGGATACATCCAAGCCCTGTCTTCATGAAAACTCAGCAGATGAGTCAAGGGAAGTGAGAGTCTGATGTCGCAGGGCCAGTCACAGGAGCTGGCTCAGTGTTTGGCTCTCCTCCTGACAGTGCTCACCCTTAAAGAGCCATCACTGTCAAGCACCCCAGCTCGTGTTGGAGAGGGCACATCCTCCCACATGCCCTTTCCTGCACTGTTGCCTCACACTTCCTGCCAGCCGCCCCTGGCGCAGGCCTCACGGACACTTCAGCAGAACCAGAGCTTGTATACTTCTTAAAAAATTTAATCATTTTGTATTTTCATTAAAAAAGTAAAGATAAACAATTGAGTTATTTTGTTGAGCTAGAGTTTCACCATATACCCAAGGCTACCCTAAAACATGTTATACATCTCAGAATAGTCTTCCTGATTTCTCTGCCAGGCTTGTATGTCTGTAGCACCACACCGCTCCTGTGTGCATGAGGTTAAAGGCAGGTGATGTGTACACAGAAATTGAAATCATAAATCAATGTAGTTGAGGGTTTTTTTTTTTTCCAAATCTATTCTCTTTATTTATTCCTTCACAACCTCTAGTAATCACCATTTTACCTTTAGGCTAACTTTTTTTTTTTTTTTAACATACATTTATTTATTTATTTATTTATTTATTTATTTATTTATTTATTTATTATAATTTATTCACTTTGAATCCCAGTTATAGCCCCTTCCCTCATCCCCTCCCAATCCCGCCCTCCCTCCCTCTTCTCCTCCCGTGCCCCTCCCCTAGCCCACTGATAGGGGAGGTCCTCTTCCCCATCCATCGGACCCTGGCCTATGAGGTCTCATCAGGACTGGCCGCATTGTCTTCCTCTGTGGCCTGATAAGGCTCCTGAGCTTGTATATTTTTAAGGTTAGAGTGGTCCTGGCATGAGGCCCCAAGGTACTGGCCTCTTGTATTTCAGTGCATGCCTGTTTGTCAGAATCACAGAGCCTGTTTCCTCGGTAGGCTAGACAGAGGGTGTCTGCCATGTCTGAGAGCAAAGATCTGTGGTCTGGGGTTGTGTGGTTCCTTTTCCACCGTAGTACCTGTACTGCTCCTCACAGAGAGGGCCCCCAGCCTCAGAACGTACGGGGAGGGACTTGGGCATTAAGGAAAACAGTGATAGGGTATTCTTTTGTGTTTTGTTTACCACTTGTTGGCTGAGATACCATTCAGGTAACCAAACTAGGAAGTGGGGCTTGTACACGTTTGTAGCTTATGCCTGATTCAGTAGGTTCCTGAGCTCACCTTGTTATTTCTCCAGTTTTCTAACACATGAGTAGAGTGGGCATACTCAGGAGTGAGCAGAGCTCCTGTGGGTCCCTGACCTGTGTTGAGAGAGCCATTATGGTGGTAAAGAGTAAAATGAAGCCCCTAGAACTTGTATCTAGGAACACAGTAAGCCAATAGCTTTGTATATCTGTGAAGGGCTCACAGAGTGCCACCACAAGTGGCTGTAAATTAGCTCTTTTGACCCACCCTTTGGTTGTGCTGATTTGCACAAGCAGCTCACAGACCTTGTATTGACTGGTTAATCATGAGAGTAATTACCAAGGATACATTGAAGAGATGTAAGAGGCTGGGTATGTGGAAGGGACAAGGCTTTCATGCCCTCCTTGGGCACTGCCCCTTGGACTCTCCACATTCAGCTCTGGGAAGCCCCGACCCTGTCTCTAGGAGTTTTATTGCACTAACTACAGGGGGTGACCCATTAACCCACTGGCCACCGGAGATCCACTCAAGCTCCAGCCCTTCTTCCCTCTCTGGGGGCTGAGATGAGGCTGAGGGTCCCCACCCTCTGATCCAGCCCTGATCCGCACCTGGTAGCTCCCCAGGGGCTGCTGGCCAGCAGAGGGCTGTTAGTATGTAGAAGGGACTTCGCTTGGAGATTCCTAGGAAACAGGATGAGGACCAAATGTATTTCGGAAAGTCACACTTGAGAAATGCCTGCAAAGCTTGGAGAATTTAGAAATCTGCTTACTTTTTATTTCATTCTGAAAAAAAAAAAAAAAAAAAAAGACATGGTAAGTCTTTTTTGGTGCCTTTTGTCAGTTGTCTTCCTAGCTTCTTAAGTCTTTAACACAAGGAGTGACAGAATTCTTCAGGTTCTGTGTTCTTTCACTGTCAGATTAATTACACTGATTCATTTCCAGTGGTAAGCCACCCTCATCTTATTTGCAGCATAGTAATTTTTTATGAAATTTTAATATTTCATCAGGAGCGCTTGCTGATTTTTTACAAGGAGTTTTGCTGTCTTGGGATCGGCACGTCTTGTTGAATGGGGTTTGGTGTGACTCAGGCAGCCTGTGAGCTATCCTAGCATTGTTCTCTGAATGGGGCTGTGGACAGACGGCTGGTGGTCCTTCTCTTTGGCAGAGTTCACCACTGAAAACCCTTGGGGCTCGGCGTTCTCTCTGGGGCCATCTTCACAGATTGGGTTTCTTTCTACAGTTACTCATTTTTTTTTTTCCTTGCCCATGTTTCAGAGGTTGAGCTTTCTAGTGTTATACATGTCTGGTAAGTTGTTAGATTTATTGGCACTGAGAATAATGCCCATAAAACTTACTGACACGGTCCTGTGTCAGTACTTTATATTTTTTCTGTTGTTTACTTAATCATTTCTTGTTAGAACTTTGTATTTTTATTTGAATCACATCAAAGAACTGACTTTCAGCTTTCTCTCTCTCATTTTTAAAGAGTTGGTCTTGCTCTGTAGCCCTGGCTAGCCTGGAACTCACTTTGTAAACCTCTGGCTGGCCTCTTAACTCACACAGATCTAGTTGTCTCTTGCCTACAGAGTGCTGGGATTACAGTCACAGTTCCTTCATTTTTATTTGTCTTCCCTCTGTATGTAGAGACACATACACGCCATAATATTTGTATGGACACTTGGAGTCAGTTTTCTCCTTCCACCACGTGGGTTCCAAGGATCAAGCTCAGACCATCAGGCCATCTTGGTGGCAAGTTCCTTTACCCACTGAACCCAGACCATTTCCAGACCATTCCCTCTGCTTCAATTCATTGATTCCTTCATTTTGGATTTTCTACTTTCTTTGTGTATATTTTTAGTTTTTATTGTAAAACAATTTGAAATAGACACTTAGATAACTAATTATAAAGCATTTGTGTGTTTTGGGTTTTTTTTTCCTTTCTTTTTTCTTTTCTTTTTTTTTTTTTTTTTTTTTTTTTTTGAGACAAAGTTTCTCTATGTAGCTCTGGCTGTCTTGGAACGTCAACCATGCTGGCCTTGACCTTGGAGATCCAGCTGCTTCTGACTCCTGGGTGTTGAGATTTAAAGGTGTGGGCCACCACCACCCAATTTTAAACCTTTCTAATATACACATATATACATGTTAAAAACTCAGTGTCCTCAAATGGGATAGCACTGGCTTCTCTTGTATGTTGTATTTTCATTGTTAGTCACGTTAAATGTTTTCTTTTTTAGATTTGTTTTTATATGTAGTTACTGTTTGCCTGAATCCGTGTCTGTGTATGTATCGTGTGCATACTTGTGTTCTTAGAGGTGAGAGGAAGGTTTCAGATCTCCTGGAACTGGAGTTACAGATGGTTGTAAACCACCATTCAGGTTCTGGGAAAGGAACCCAGGTCATCTACAGGAGCAGCAAGTGCTCTTAAACCATGGAGCCATTGCTCTAGCCCCTTTAAATGTTTTCTAAATTCTTTTTGCATTTTTGGCACATGTACTTCGGTATGCATTAAATCTGCAAATATTTTCAGATTTGTATTTGTGCTTTGGACATAGTGCCTTTGCACCTAGCTGCATTCCCTAATGAGTGCTCTGTGTCCATTTGAGAGCAATGGGGGGTGATGCTGTTATCAGTCAGCCTGAGCTGCCATAATACCTTTCAAAACTCTAAATTCTTACAAAAAAAAAAAAAAATTTTTTTTTTTATCATCTTGTCCTGTCAGTCATTAAAAGAAATGTAACTGTTGAAGTCTACAACTGTGATTGTTTTTTCTTTGGCTTTTGTCACTTTTTTGCGTAATGAATTTTGAAGTGGTGTTATTTGGTTATATAAATACGTACTGTTAGGTCTTCTGTTGTATAGATTCTCTCATCATACAGTGTCCCTGGTAGCATGCACTTACTGTTAGCATCCTATGTATGATGTGTACATTTCAATTCTTTGTTTTCTGTATATCTGTTCTTTAATGTTTTGTGAATATGATACACAGTCTCTTGTTTCTTTCAGGCTGATAATGTATCTTTTAAGTTGGTCCATTTGCTTTAGTCTGAATGCTTAGCTGGTTTGGTTTAACCCATTTACTTCTGCTGTGTGTTTGATATTTGCTTTTTTTTTTACTGCCTCCATTTTTCTTCTGCTGATGCAAGGATGTATTTCTTGGGGCTGCAATTGTACTGTGCAGTCTAGTAGACACTAACTATATTAAAATTGAACTATTGGTCTGGGAAGCGGCTTAGAGATAGAGCTCTTACCTAGCACAGCGAGGCCCTGAATTTGATTCCCAAGCTCTATGAACAATTAATTAATTAAATTAGGAATTGAGTTTCTTAGTTGCCATGGTTATATATAAAGTGTTTAGCAGCTACATGTGCCTTCGGTTGTTTTGGACAGTGCAGACAGAGGATTTCTGTGCTGCAGAAAGCTTTAGCAAACAGCTCTGTAGAGATTGGTGGGCTGGTGAATTCATGGATGGATTCTGAGTCAGAATTCTCCAGGTCAAGGCATACTGTGAAAAGAACAACATGACTCATTTGCACATGTTTGTTGTATCTTTGGTTAGCTGCATCCCCTCTAGACAAGTGTGCTTGCCACCCCAAGCCTCAGGTTTTCACCCTTTGCTCTTTCTGCTTCATGCGTATTTATTGGGAATGATTGACTGTAAAATGGTAACATGCTCTACAAAGATTAAAGCAGTCTTCTGAAAAACAAAGGTGTTACTCCTTAAGATTGTCTCTGGTTTTTGTGTTTTCTCTGCTCTTGTAGATTGCTGACAGAACTGGAGACTCCTTCCTGGTGGCCTTTTAGCTCTAAGCTTTGGAAGACGCCAGCAGAAGTAAAGCCCAAGGAAGGTGTTCCTGTAGCCACTTGTGAGCCCTTTGGAAAGGACGGGGTTGTGATCAGAGTCCCTGCTGTTGTTTCTCAGAGAACAGAGTCTCATTCCAAGCCAGGAAAGCTCACTGTCCTGGTTTCTGGTTTGGAAATCCACGACTCCAGTTCATTGCTCCTGCACAGGTTTGAGAGGGAAGATGTCGATGACATCAAGGTTCATTCTCCTTATGAGGTCAGCATACGCCAGCGGTTCATTGGGAAGCCAGACGTGGCTTATCGGGTGATATCTGCCAAGATGCCAGAGGTCATTCCCATTTTAGAAGTGCAGTTCAGCAAGAAGATTGAGCTCCTGGAAGATGCCTTCATGCTCAGGAGCAGGGGCGGAGCGTCCCCTGCAGTGAGCAGCTGCTCCATTCAGCATGCAGGTGAGTGGCCGGTAGGGCAGTGTGTGGACTGACTTCCTAAAATTAGAGCCTCACTCAGCACGGTGTAGTTTGTGTTCAGCATGCCCATCAGTCAGCAGCTGCTGGCTCCAGCTTGCAGACAGTCACAGGCTTATACAACCCCTCCAGACTGCCAACTTACACCTGCCCTTGACAGATGATTGGGTTTCAGAACAGGGCAGTGGCGAAGCTTTGTTCTCGAATGTCTCCCGAAGGCTTACCTCTTGGGGTGGCGCTGTTGGAGGACGATGGGGCCTTCTTGCAGGGTCTTGGGTCACTGGAGGCTTGCCCTCTCTTCCCGTATGCTAGTGACACAGTGAGCAGTTTTGTCCCTGTATGCTGTACAGCCTCACCACAGGTCTAAAGCGTTAGGGAGCCTTTGACGTTAGGCTGGGATCCTTTAGAACCGTGGCTTAGTTAAATCTCCTCTCTTGATAAGTTGATTGGCTGTGTATTTCCTTGTAGTATAGAAAACTGACTACTAGAGTCAGAAGGTTCTATCCAGCCCATTTGTTACATTGCTTTAATAAAATATGAGAAGCCGTGTGATATATGAAGAAACTATTCGGTAGCTTGCCATTCTGAAAGCCTAAGGTCCAAGATTGGACAGCTCATTTGTTAGGGCTCTGGTGAGGGTCACATGGCAGATGGCACAATGGTGAGAGCACTTGACAAGACAAGATGCTGAAGAGATTCAGGGCCCAGGCTTGCTCCTTTACAACAGCTACCTCTATCAGAAACTGACTAGGATCCTGTAATCTCTCCAAAAGACAATCTCCTTGTGACCTGATGACCTCTGCCTAGGCTGTAATCCTCAAAGGTGCCAGCACTTCCTACCATCACTTAGTGCCCAGCATGTGAGCCCTTGGAAGACATGCTCAGAGCATATGAACAACAGCAAAGGGTTTGGGTAAGCCAGCCAAAGGACGCTTCAGGTCCTCAGCCCTTGCCTCTCCTCAGCCTAACTCAGGAATTGGCACCTCAGATACATTCTGGTGCGACGCACACCTACACTGACCTGTCCCCCACCAGCCTACCACTTGCCTTTGGCATTGCGTTGGTTCTTTCCAGCCATTACCCAAGTGTGGTAGTAGGGATGGGCATCATTGAATTCTAGGACACAGCTGAGTTTTCAGATTCAGATACTGTGCACTGGGTCAAGGTCCAGGATGGGGTACATTTGGACATGGTGTGTGTACATTCTCCCCTGGATTGGGATCAGCAAAGTGGAGACCTCCATGTAAAAGATGAGATGCTACCCTGTGAATCATGACACCCATCCGTATGAGAGAACAAATTGCTATGCTCTCACGTCCAGTGAGGCACAGGCAGAGGAGAAGCAAGAAGCGGAGACTCTCCTAGTGAGGGAGGAGTAAGGAGAAGAGCCAAGTCGACATACACAATGTCAGGGAGGAGAAGGATGACTGAGGGAGGAAGTGATGTGAGTGTATGCATGCCCCCTGAGGGTTGGCTGTAGGTAGGAGACATTATACTGTCTTAGGAATGTGGCAGCTATCCCCGTGGAGGGAGGGCTGAGGTAGGAAATGATATGTGTGTGCGCCCATGTATGTGTATGTATGGGGGAGGGAGGCTTTAGGTAGGAGTCACTGTAATGTGTTAGGAATGTGGCAGCTATCCCCGTGGACGGAGGACTGAGCAAGAGACACAGACCTACAAGTAAGGTAACTTCCTAAGGAGATCCCTGGGGGTTTTCACGACTTCACGGAAGATGGCTTCCATAACTCGTGAAGTCATAGGTTCACCGCAAGATAGACATCCATCCAGTGGGCCTTGTTTGGGGGGAGTTCTGCTGACCACCCAGTGCCAGAAGGCCTCGGCTTGTGCACAAGATATCAGCATCATCTTTAGGAAAGCCATAGGTGTGCTTCCAGTTTCCACTCCTGGTCAGTACCCCATCTGCTGCAGGCCAGCCTCCCTTATTATAGACGTTGGCATCAGGGATGTCTTTGTAACCACAGTCTTAGCAGCAGCCTGCTGGGATTTGACGGAGTTCCTGGGGACCTGGCCTTTGTAAGGGGCATCACAGGACACTTGTATGGAAGGACTGGAGCCCTTGGAGCATGCCAGTCTGTGTTGTCTGTCTCCTGGGGACTCCCTAGTGTTGAGTGAACTGGGTGGGAAGCACCATCCTCAGTTCTAGTGCATGGGCGTGCCTTCCAGCTGGCTGGTGTGGGCAGGAAGCTCACATGTACTGAGGTTTAGTGGGGAAGATGGCTTCCAAGTAGGTGGGATCTCAGTGGTTTTCTTGCCCAGAGCTTGAGGGTGGGTGGGCACCTTGCCCACGCCTCCATGTGCTGCAGCCCTCGGCTAGCTTCTGTCTCACCACCAGGAGGGGGAGACTGTGCAGGGAAAGGAAGCCTCATCCAGGACCCAGGCCCAGCCTCTTCTGAAGGTGTGCTTGCGCATGTGGCCACACAGGGGCAGTGTTGAAGCATGGTAAGCTGTGGCTGCTGAGAGTTAAACTACACAGGAAGCTCCCCAGAGACTACTGTAGTGAGTGCTTCCTGCAGACCACTGAGGCTGCCAGTATCAAGGACCTGGGCCTGGGAGCAGGAAGATTGGCCTTGATGTCTCAGGGAAGCACAGCTTGATTGCTGCATCCTCCAAGACTTGTGAGCTGAGAATAGTTTCAGATTTGCATCGCTGAAGGTCTGAAGATAGTGCAGGTCATTATCTCTTGTTTGATGTCACAGGGTAGCAGGTGTCTCAGACTCTGAGATTCAGATCACGGAGTCTTTGTGAACAGTAATGAAACTGTTGACATCTGCATGTGAAACTCACTGCTGCTTCATGTCTGTTTGATGCATGTAGGGTGGTTTTATACTTTTTTCAGTGAATTTTGTCATAGAGTTTTTCAGAGTGTCCTGGAGTTTGCAGCTTATGAACCGTGGACTTTAGCATTAGAGTCCTATGCTGCTCCCAAACCCCAAATCTGCTCTCATCCACTGCTAACGTTAGTGTGCCTCCTTGTCCCATCCAGGGAGCATGCCGTGTACCTAGTCTCTTACCTCATCTTACCTCCATCTGCTGTCCTCTGTCCCCAGAGCCCCTGGGTTCTATGATTGTGGGCTCCTGGGTTTCTTGGCTCTGACAGTACCCTTAAAAGCCTGTAGAAGCATGCCCTGCTGGAGCACATGCCATTTATTTTCAAGGTTTATCTGGGTGAAGTCAGCAGTAAGGTGCCCTCACACTCTGTGACCAGAGCACACATAGCGTTGTCTAAGCCATTTGTTTGCTAACTCTGTCTTTGCTGCTTGCTGATGTCACATGCCCAGAGGGGGCTTTCCGCAGCAGGCACTGGGAGCCTCCAGACACCCGCTACCGAACAGCTCCCAGCACTTCTGCCTGGCCACTGCATCCCCAGCCATACGGCATATGACACAATGGGATGGATGATGCCATCTGACCAACCTGACCCAAACTGTCTTTTAAGACAGAGCTCGGAAGCCCTTCAGGGTCCTAGGATGTAGGCACCCATCTTAGGGTTACTCCTGCTATGATGAAACACCATGAGCAAAAGCAAATTGGGGGGGAAAGGGCTTATTTTGTGTACACTTCCACATAACAGTTCATCAACAAAGACAGTCAGGACAGGAACTCACATAGGGCAGGAACCTGGAGGCAGGAGCTAGTGCAGGGGCCATGGAGGACTGCTGCTTCCTGGATCTTCCTATGGTTTGCTTAGACTTGTTTCTTATATAACCCTGAACCACCAGCCCACACTAGGCAGGACCCTCCTTCATCAATCACTAATTAAGAAAATATCTTGCAGATTAGTCTTATGGAGTGGTTTTCTCAAGTGAGGTTTCCTCCTCGCCGATGACTCTAACTTCTGGCAAGCTGACATAACAACTGGCCAGCACAGCACCCTAGGATGAGGTCCTCAAGTGTGCAAGCACTGTGCTGTGTTTGAGCTCTCACAAGGGGTGTCTGACAATATAGGTACTGCAGTGTGCCTGATGGGGATCTCTGGGCCCAAGGACAGGGTTTGTGAGGATACAGACATGGGTGACACTGTGAAGCATAGGACTCGTGGGGTGCAAAGACAGGGTCCTCAGGGTTGGACTGTGCTGAGCTGCTGGCCAGGAAGCTGGTTAGGGAGGGTAGCTTGGCCCTCTTGCACCTGAGGTCTCCATGCCTGAGTGTACCATGTGCTACAAAGTCCCTGTGGAAGGGTAGGTGTCTGTGGAAGCACAGCTTTCCCTTTCTCCATCTGTCCTGCCCTTGTGGGTGAAGGAGCATTTTGTTTTCTGACCTGTGAACTGTGAACCAGCTTCTCAGGCTTCTCATGCAGCTGCAGCCCCTGTTACAAGGCCATGTGGGCCCCAGAAGAGGGATCTGCCTGGGTCAGTAGCAGGTTGGGCCTGCTACTCTGAGCTGTATGCCAGAGTAGTTAGTGTCTGTGGGGCCCAGTGTCTGTCCCCTTTGCCAGCTGACCTCCCTGAAGACCATCTTCTCCCTGAAGACCTCCTTGCCCTGCAGTCTCACTGCCTTGCTGCAGGAGCCGTTCTTGGTGCTTTTATTAAACGATCATTAGTGACTACAGAGATAGAAACCATCCTGCCCAGAGCCACAGTAATTCTCAGATGTTTCAAAACATGGATCAACGAGTCAGCAATCAGCCCAGGAGGTGGCAGAGCTCTGTGGCTTAGGTGGGTCCCAGCTGACCCCACAGCTTGTGGAAAACATCCCAGACGCCATGTGTCTGTGGGTCTTTAGTAACATCCATTAGGAGAGTCTTGCTTCAGCTTTCTGTTTGTTGAAGCAGTACCGGTTATTGAAGCTCTTGCAGTCCAGTCAGTCAGGATCTTTGTAGCTTCAGCCAGCCAGGGTCTGCCCTGAGGTTTCAGTCACTGAGAATCCTTCAGTCAGTCTGGCTGTTGTCTATAGCTTCTTCAGTCAACTAGGGTCTCCTGTTGGTGTCAGTCAGCCAGGGTCTTTCCTATAGCTACAGTCAGCCAGGGTCTCTCCTTTAGTGTCAGTCAGTCAGGTCTCTTCTGGACCTTCAGTCAAAGTCTCCTGTAGCTGGAAGTGTGGAAGCCACAGTCAGCAGCTCTGGAGATCTGCTTCCTGAATCCAGGCTGTGGCCAAGGATCCCAAGAGGCCCTGGGGTAAGGCTTCAGTGGCACAGGAGCACTGCGGCTGTGCGGTGTGACCATCACCGTGTGTGTGCACAGCTAAGAGGCTGAGAGGGTCAGTGTGTCCCAGATCCCTGAACCAGTCAGCACAGGGCACAGGGACCCCAAATGCAGACAGTGGGGTTCTTTGTGCCCGTGAGTCGGTATCCTTTGCCTCTCACCTGAGACAGCCCTCTTCGTACTGGGCTCTCACCCCAAGCCTACCTACCATGATCCCCTCAGGCTGATGATGGCTGAGCTCGCCTTTTCTGCCATTTCCAGCTTCCAGCCCAGCTAGCTGTGTCTGCTAGTTGTAAAGCAGTGCTGTACCAGCCAGGAACTCTCATGGACAGAGGAGCTCAGCAGTGAGCCCTGGGAGCTGGGGAGGCTGATAACTGCCACCACCACGTCAGCACCTGGCAAATACAAGCCCGTAATCGGTTGGGCTTGTTGCAGTCAGTTTCATTTAGAATGTGGTAGAAAGAGCGCTGTCCCAGTGATGGGGCCTGACTGCTAACTGCTAGACTTGGTTTCCACACTCAAGTGTGTGTGTGTGTGTGTGTGTGAAGCTGTTCACCTCTGCGTTCATCTACCCGTCCTGTGGGCTTGTCCTCACCCTGCCCGCCTTCCTCCTCAGGGTGTGGCCGGTTCTTAGCCACCCCTGCCTTTCTCAGGAGGGCTGCCCCTAAGGCTGCTGGAAGAGCTTCGGAGCGAAGGGGATTTTGTGTTCAGCCAGCAGCTCTTGCTCTCCTTCCTGGGGCAGACAGGCTTGTCTTAGGGACTCATCTTAGGGTTCCTGCCCTCAGGCCCGGTGTGAGCTCCCCTAGTTGAGTGTGTGCCTCCTTTCCCCTCTTCCTCTAGTGTGCAGCAGCGTCCTCCAGGCTGCCCACCTTGTCTAGCTAAGAGAGGTGTGTAAGCCTCCGGAGGGACTGCTTGTCAAACTCAGTGCCCTTCCAGTGTCCTCCCAGCCTAGTAAATGCACTTGGCCGCTGCTCTGTCCAGGTGCCCAATGTGGTAGAGAGGAGCAAGATCAGACTCCAGTTGCAGACCTTTTTCTGGGCCTCAGAGTTCTGGTTTGTGGCACATGGCTGCCTCCAGGAGGCACTGGGTTGGGCCGGTTGCACCATTCCTGTCAGCTGTCCTGTCTTGGTGCAGGGATCCCCAGCAGGCAGGTTGTGTTGGTGTGGGAGAGCTGCAGAGCTGCCCCACTCCCTGAGTCCAGCCTGACCACAGGGTAGTGGTTGTGACTCAGGAAGCCCGGGGCTGCCTGTACATGTGGCTCCATTTGGCTCCAGCAGCTGGCCATTTCCTGTGCTCTCTGGAACCACAGTGTTCTGAGGACTAGCTCACTGTCCCACATTTCCTGGTGGCTTGTTATATGTGTATCTCACCAGGGTTCACCAGTTCTTGCGTTCTGTATGCCACATCTTGGACAAATTGAGCTCTAGAAGATTACAGCCCCTTCTCTGAAGAGATCCTTGCAGAATTAGCCCTGGGGGTTAGCAGCAAACTCACCTTGATGTGTGGCCTTCAGCTCAGTAGGGGCGCAGGCACCAAGGCCATACATGCCCATAGGGACACTCGGACGTGCGCCTCAGACCAAAGCTTGGGGCCGTCTTAAATTGCCCGTCTGGTGCTCTGAACGCTTGTGTGTGGTTTGTGCCTCCCGACAGTCCTCACCACTGACCTCAGCTTTCCGTTCCAGCGTCCAGACTGATGGGCTGCGCTTCACACCGGGAGCTGCCCACAGGAGGCCGGGAGGACCAGCAGCTGCAGCTGCAGAGGAACTGGCCACTGCTCTCTGAGGGGGAAGCCCAGGAGCTGACACAGGTAGAGTCCCCAGTGCCTCAGTGGGCCAGTTCAGCGTCTCTGTCCACCCCACCCGAGTCTTATCCCTCTCCTGCCTGCAGACGGGCTCTTGCTGGATGGCACATGCCTTTGACTCAATTGGGGTTCTCAACCTGTGGGTCACAACCCATCGGGGGTCACATATCATATATCCTGTACATCAGATATTTACATTATGATTCCGAACAGCAACAAAATTACAGTTATGAAGTAACAGTGAAGGTAATGCTATGGTTGGGGGGTGGGTGTCTTCACAACATGAGGAACTGCATTAAAGGGTCGCAGCATTAGGCGGGCTGGGAACCAGGTGCTGAAAGGAGCTGCTTCGTCCCAGGGTTTGCTGTGCCCATCCCAGCTCCCTAGTTTCATGGCCCGAGGACTCAGAGTGTGCACACCCTCAGTACATACAGCTGCCTTAGCGGCCACCTCCACCCATTGTATATGTGTGCATGCGTGTGGACTGTGTGTGTCTGCGCACCGCATATGTGCCATGCCTGTTCTGCACAGTCCGTGTGTACTCTGTCCAGTGTGTGCGTGTGCTCTGTGCATGTGTGTCGTGTGGTACACAGGTACTGTGTGTGCACGAGCACGCTCTGCTCTGCAAGCATGTATGTACGCTTAAGAGAAAACCAGCTTGCTCACATCGCTCATGTTCAAAACTAGATTCTGAAAGAAGTTTTCCACTTCTGTTGAAAAAAACTGAAGTTGAAATATCCCACACACGTACTTTACAGTCACCTCTCTGTAGCGTTGCAAGACAGTGCAGGTGCCTTTTCTTCTGGTGTTTGAAGAAGCACCTCTGCAGGGTGTCATTTTCCTTGCAGATATTTCAGTCTGTTCCCTTAGGAGATACGAGGACCTATAGGCTGTGACGGTTTGTCTCTGCAGTCCCAGTACTCTGGAAGCTGAGGCAAGACTGTCTGTCACAGGTTCAAGGCCAGCCTGGACTGAGGAGAGAAACTCTGAAAGCAGTACAACAAGAACAAACGAAATGCCCAGATAAGAGCTGTCAATAATTCAGGAGCATGAGGGTGAGGCCATAGGATCATGAAGTGCACACATTATAATACATACATACATACATACATACACACACATATGTGACTAAACATAACCCCTTTCTTAATTTAGAACATAAAAAGTAGGCACTGGAGAAACAGCTAAGCAATTATAGAGCACTTGCTCTTCTTGTAGAGGCCTGGGCTTGGTTTCCACAACCACGTGGGGATTCACAGTCGTGTGGAATCTTCTTCTGGCGTCTCTGGGTACCTCATGCACACATAGAGGCAAGAACTCAGGAAGGGAAGGGAAGTAAACCTTTTAGAAATGAAACATTAAAATGTCCAGTCAGTGTTCACACTGCCCTGGACCTCCCATGAGGCCTGTCTGTTCCAACCAGGACCAGCCACATTCAGAGATGGAAGAGCTCTGCCCCTCACCTGTGGGGTCCTGTATCGGGGGACATGCCCCCAAAAGAGCACTGTGTGTTTCCACTGGGAGGTGGATATGAGCAGTCATTCAGTAGCCCTGTTCTTAAAAATGAGTCCTCAGAGCCAGGAGATGAAAGTGCACACCTTTAATCCCAGCACTCAGGAGGCAGAGGCCGATGGGTCTTTGTGATTTTGAGGCCATCCTGGTCTTCTGAGTGAGTTCCAGGACAGTCAAGCCTACACAGAGAAACCCTGTCTTGAAATAAATAAATAAAGGTTTCAGTTTATGTGTTGCATAGGCACAAGCTTCTCTGAGCTCAGTGGTTTCCCCTTCATGTGGGTAGGGAAGGACTCCTTTCTATGAGATGCTTTAAACATAGACCCCTGTTCCTTTTTCCATGGCCCAGTGTTTATGCTGAGCATGACCCTGGCACACACCAGCTGTGAGCAATGGCTTCTGCAGGTCACTGTCACGTTGTCCTCAAGACCTTCCAGGTGTGGTCTTCCTCCTATGGGGTTTTGAGGAAGCCTAGTGTGTCGGGGCCCACGTCCCAGAGTTTCCTCTGAGTACCCTCCTGAGCACTTGAACAAGAGTGCATCAGCCTTGGCAGGCTGGGTCTGCAGGCTCTCCGTGCCCACCTTTATGACAACATCTCAGCCCCGCAGTTGTGTCTAGGCAGGAGCTCACTTGTTAGTCGCAATGATGCTCTGAGAGGCTCTTCCTGTTTGTGAACGTCTAACCTCTGTCAGCCTTTGTCCTAACGGCCAGGGCGGCGAACACAGCCCAAGACAAGAATGGGGTAGCAGCCTGCAGTGCCTGTCTGTGGCAGTTCCTAGAGGTCCAGAGTGGTCCATATTGTCAACACTGAGAACCTCGTGTGGAGGTCTTAGCGGTGGGACGCTGAGGGCAGTGGAGCCATAAGGGTCTCCACGTTGCCAGGCTGGGCCTCGGGGAACGGGCAGGTGGGGACTCAGTTCTGGTCAGGAGGTGCAGCCTAACTTTACATGAAACAGTATTTTCAAGGTAAACACATGTTTCATATTTAGAGAAGAATTCCTGGCTGTGCAGTTGAAGCTCTAGCCCAAGTAGGAATGAGTTAAATTCTGGGGAAATCAAAAATGCAAGAAACCCTCCTCCATCCAGCTGTGGTTTTGGTTGCGGATGCTATTAAAGCCATTATGTTGAGATGTGTCCTGGTGATTTAAATTGCAGTTGGGGATGCGAATGGGGAAGTGGCCAGGATTACATAGGTTGGGAGTGAGCTGAGCGGGTGCTCGGTCTGTGGCCACCAACTGCCGCGTCACTGCGGCTGGGGCAGGAAAAGCCCAGGAGGCCAGAAGGAAACCGAGGCCCTGGTAGATCTGGCAAGTCCCTCGCCTGCCAACTGGCTTAGCATCTATCTGCTCCTCCTCAGTCCCGTGGCTGCACGTGGTTCATGGCATCAGCAGAGGCACACACTGTTGGTGGTAAGGGATTGGCAGCATAACACAGGAAGTGGGGACTGCTGTCGTGAGGCAAGGCTCTCAGGGTCCACACAGGGTTTCTTCCTGCTTCTGTTGCTGTGCCCTGGCCTGAGTTGGGAGGCTCTTCATCCCCTTTTGCCTTTGACTGGGATCTCCCAGTGAAACCATAGTGATCTGATCTGGTGGATTGTGGGTGGGAAGACACAGCGGCCCCAGCAGCCAGCTGTGGTAGAGAAAGGAGACTGCTGTGTGTGAGATCTCCTGTCACGCCCTGAGGGTGTGCTGCAGTGCCTCCCTGGGCGGCTGAGGTCTGCAGAGCATGCTGGCCTTTCAGCTTGATGTCTGCGTCTCTGGAATCTCCACGTGCTTTCTATACCCCAGCTCCACATGTACCTGTTCCTGTGTCGACAGGTAAATGTAGTTTTCTGGAAATTATTTTGTGGTTCTCTGTTGGTTATATAACCTTTTCCAAGAAGTTTGTGGGCCAGCGAAATGGTTCAGTGGGTAACGGCACTTGCCACCAAGCCTGATGACCTAAGTTTGATCTTTGGAGCCTACATTGTAGAAGGAGAAAATTAAGTCTCTCAGGTTGTTCTAGGTCAGGCATGGTGCTACATGTTTTTAATCCCCATAAATCACTAGGCAGAGGCAGGGGAATGCCTGTGAAATTGAGAACAACTTGAACTAAATAGTGAGTTCAGGGCCAGGCAGGACTACACAGTGTTTTGACACCCTGTGTCAAAACAAAAATAAAACAAACAAACAAAAATAATAATAACAATCTGTCACCTGACCACCACTTGTAAGCGTGTATGCACAGTGAAACAAAATGAAATAAATATAATAAAAAAAATTTAAAGACATTCATGTATGGTGCTTCTGTCATTGAGCAAATATGCAACATGGTTTGTCATCTTCAGTGCCCGTCACCTTGGCCCATTTTCCCTGGTACCCCAGGTTTACAAACTGTACCTTCCTCAAAGTATACCTTCTCCCTGCTGGAAGCATGCCTCAGCCATTTTGAATGAAGCTCATCTGCAGGTGATTGTACTCCCCAAGTATCTCTGAAGCTAAAGCAGAATTCAAGAGTCAGGGGCATCACCAGCCCACCCTGTGTGCACATTGAGACCTCAGGTCTTCTTCTCTGCGCAATGACATGTGCCATGATGACCCCACATATGTCCTGCAGGTCTTCTCCCCATGGGCAACGGCTGCACACTGTCCCCTCTGTCAGTCTGTACAACTAGACCCTCAGCCTCTAAGGGGCAGAGCCCTGGAAGAGCCACCTGCCAGGCTGAGTTCAGGGTCTAACTCTTGAACAGTTTGTAGTTATCTTTTGCCACTGCAGGTTTTTGCCTTGGTGCCCATATGTTCCCACACTTACTTGAACTTTTCCTGTGAATACTGTCAGCATTCCTACCATCACAAAGGGGTTCTTGGGGGATGTTTTTATATAGAGCTTTAGTCCTAGTCCATTTTAGCACTGATCTAAGCCATGCACCGCAGGCACAAGTTGAGCATCCTTCATCCCCAAATTCAAAATTGTTTGAACACCTGACACATGTTGAGGCCAGGTATACCTTTCCTCAATGTCTTCTCCACCTTATGTTTTATAATTCAGGCTCCCACGAAACCTGGACCCTGCCATTTTGGCTAGACTCTCGAGGCAGTGCGCCCCTGGAATCCATCTGCCTTTGCTCCACAGTTCCGGGGTTATGGGCATATACCTGGTGCCCAGCTCTTACATAGGTGCTGCGGATCTGATCTCAGGTCAGGTCCTCATGCTTGTCCAGCAAGCCCTTTACTACTGAGAAGCCACCCCTCCAACCACAACTAACATTCTTAAGGACACAAATAAAAGCAGCCAAATGAAACAGCTAGATATCGAGGGTCTCAAACATAGTTTTCCATCCTCTCTCAGGTACCTGGCCTGTTACCTTCTGGTACACCAGTCAGGATCTCCATTGTCTAAACTGCAGGTCACGCTTGATTCATCAGTCTTATACTTGAACCTAGTACCTAACCCCCATTCTCTGGGAGGTCACACTGGGATCAGGTGGCCATCCTCACACACATACTCTCCAGTCA